AAAAATTTAAAAATTTATAAAATTTAAAAAATTTATAATTTTTTTTCAATTCTATAGGAAATAAATTCAAATAAAAAATAAAATAAAATAAAAATAAATTAAATTAAAATCAAATCAAATTTAAATTCGATAAGAAATAAATTCAAATAAAATAAAATAAAATAAAATTAAAATAAATTAATTTAAAATAAAATCAAATTTAAATTCTAAAAGAGATAAATTCAAATAAAATAAAAGAAAATAAAAACAAAATAAAATCAAATCAAATTTAAATTCTATAAGAAATAAATTCAAATAAAATAAAATAAAATAAAAATAAATTAAATTAAAATAAAATAAAATTTAAATTCGATAAGAAATAAATTCAAATAAAATAAAATAAAATAAAATTAAAATATATTAAATTAAAATAAAATCAAATTTAAATTCTATAAGAGATAAATTCAAATAAAATAAAATAAAATAAAAACAAAATAAAATGAAATTAAAATTAAAAAAATCAAATTTAAATTCTATAAGAAATAAATTCAAATAAAATAAAATAAAATAAATATTAAGTAAAATAAAAATAAAAAAAATTAAATTTAAATTCTATTAGAAATAAATTCAAATAAAATAAAATTAAATAAAAACAAAATAAAATAAAATTAAAATAAAATAAAATAAAATAAAATAAAATAAAATAAAATAAAATAATATAAAATAAAATAAAATAAATTAAAATTAAATAAAATAAATTAAAATAAAATAAAAATTAAAATAAAATAAATTAAAATAAAATTAAAAAATTAAAAATATAAAAATTAAAATAAAATAAATTTTTAATTCTATAAGAAATAAATTAAAATAAAATAAAATAAAAATAAATTAAAATAAAATAAATTAAAATAAAATAAAAAAATTTAAATTCTATAAGAAATAAATTTTGTAATTTTAAAACGATTTCATAGTTAAAAAAGAAAAAAAATTTGGTTCAAGAAAGTCTAAAAAACTTTTAATTTTTTTAAAAAATCGCATATTAAAAAAATTTAAAAATGGTAAAAAATATTATTTTGAAAAAATTAAAAATGGTAAAAAATCTTTATTAGAAAAATTTAAAAATTTCATTAAAAATTTAATATTAAAAGACTTTAGAAAATATACAAGAAAATTCTGTATAAAAGAAATTCTAAAAAATGGTAAAAAAATTCTATAGTAAAGAAATTTTAATTTTTTAAAAATTCTATACTTAGAAAAATATGAAAAAATTGTTCAATAAATTCTAAAAAAATAAATAAATTTTTTTCAAAAATCACATAATAAAAAATTTTTTAAATGGTAAAAAAATATGTAAAAACATTAAAAATGGTAAAAAATCTTTATTAAAAAATTTTAAAAGTTTCATTCAAAATTCTATATTAAAAAGATTTTAAGAAAATTCATGAAAAAGTTCTATATTAGAGATATTTTTAAAATGGTAAAGAAATTTTATAATAAAGAAATTCTAATTTTTTTAATTTTTTTTTTTAAATAGAAAAAATTGTTAAATAAAATTTTTTTTTAAGTTTTAACTTTTAATAAAGGACAAAAATAATCTCTTTTTCTCCCCCGTTTCAGGGACCGTCACCAGCAAATCCTACATTTTCTACGAGTTCCACTTTGCCAACGTGAGTCACGAACTTCAAAAAATCAAATTTTCAATTTTCTTTGAAAATTTCAATTTTATATTCCTTTATTTGTTTAATCGACAATATTTTCTGCTGGTATTGAAGGATAAAATTAAAATTAAAATTAAAAATTAAAATTAAAATTAAAAATTAAAATTAAAATTTAAAAATTAAAATTAAAATTAAAAATTAAAATTAAAATTAAAACTAAAATTAAAATTAAAATTTAAATTAAAATTTAAAATTTAAATTTAAATTTAAATTTAAATTCGTTTCTTTTCCTCTCCCTTTTTCTCTTAAAGTACTTCTGGAAAAAAATTAAACATTCTACAAAATGTCATTTTTAAGTGTAGTGAATATTTATATTTATATTTATATTTATATTTATATTTATATTTATATTTATATTTATATTTATATTTATATTTATATTTATATTTATATTTATATTTATATTTATATTTATATTTATATTTATATTTATAATTTTATTTTTATTTTTATTTTTATTTTTATTTTATTTTATTTTTATTTTCTTTTTTATTTTTATTTTTATTTTATTTTATTTTCTTTTTTTATTTTTATTTTTAATTTTTTATTATTTTTTTATTATCTTAATTTTTATTTTTATTTAAATTCCATCCTTTAAAATAAAATTTAACAAAATAATAATAAATACGTATAAATAAAGGCATTAAATAAAAATTTAATAATGGTATTAAATAAAAACAAATAATAATGGTATTAAATAAAAATTAATTAATGACATTAAATAAAAATTAAATAATGGCATGAAATAAAAATTAAATAACGATATTAAATAAAAATAAATAATAATTGTATTTAATAAAAATTAAATAATGGCATTAAATAAAAATTAAATAATGGCATGAAATAAAAATTAAATAATGGTATTAAATAAAAATAAAAAATAATGGTATTAAATAAAAATTAAATAATGGGATTAAATAAAAATTAAATAATGGGATGAAATAAAAATTAAATAATGGGATGAAATAAAAATTAAATAATGATATTAAATAAAAATAAATAATAATAGTATTAAATAAAAATTAAATAATGGTATTAAATAAAAATTAAATAATGGCATGAAATAAAAATTAAATAATGGTATTAAATAAAAATTAAATAATGGCATGAAATAGAAATTAAATAATGATAATAAATAAAAATAAATAATAATGGTATTAAATAAAAATTAAATAATGGCATTAAATAAAAATTAAATAATGGCATGAAATAAAAATTAAATAATGATATTAAATAAAAATAAATAATAATGGTATTAAATAAAAATTAAATAATGGCATGAAATAAAAATTAAATAATAATATTAAATAAAAATAAATAATAATAGTATTAAATAAAAATTAAATAATGGTATTAAATAAAAATTAAATAATGGCATGAAATAAAAATTAAATAATGATATTAAATAAAAATAAATAATAATGGTAATAAATAAAAATTAAATAATGGTATTAAATAAAAATTAAATAATGGTATTAAAAAAATAAATAATGATATTAAATAAAAATAAATAATAATAGTATTAAATAGAAATTAAATAATGGGATTAAATAAAAATTAAATAATGGCATGAAATAAAAATTAAATAATGATATTAAATAAAAATAAATAATAATGGTTTAAATAAAAATTAAATAATGGTATTAAATAAAAATAAATAATGGCATTAAATAAAAATTAAATAACGATATTAAATAAAAACAAATAATAATGGTATTAAATAAAAAATAAATAATGGTATTAAATAAAAATTAAATAATGGTATTAAATAAAAATAAATAATGGCATTAAATAAAAAATAAATAACGATATTAAATAAAAAAAATAATAATGGTATTAAATAAAAATAAATAGTAATGGTATTAAATAAAAAATTATTAATGGCATTAATTAAAAATTAAATAATGGTAATAAATAAAAATTAAATAATGGTAATAAATAAAAATTAAATAATGGTAATAAATAAAAATTAAATAATGGTATTAAATAAAAATTAAATAATGGTATTAAATAAAAACTAATTAATTATCAATGTTTTACTTAAAGGTATAAGACAAAATTAAATTCAAATTTTAAAAAAAATTCAAATTTATCATGATGTAATTCGATTTTTTTTTACAAAAAGGCTTCAAAAATCCCAATTTTTCCACCCGAAACTCGCCGTCGATTAATTCCCCGTCGTTTCCTTCCCCATCTCCCAGGACACCCTGGAGCTGTCGGTGCTGCACCGGAACTACTCGGACCCCGCCGGGTTGATTTTCGGGCACCTGCGGGTGCTGGGGCTGCCGCGGGAGCCGCTGGCGGTGACGGTGACCCAGGGCGGGGTCGAGGTGAACTCGAACCACACCATCAGCTACGACCCCCAGAAAAAGGTCAGTCACTGTCGATTAATTTACGGGATTGAATTGAAATAAATTAAATTATAATTAAATTAAAATGAAAGTAAAGTTAAATTAAAATTAAATTTAAATGAAATTAAAATGAAATTAAAATGAAATTAAAATTCAATTAAAATGAAATTAAAATTGAATTAAAATTTTAATTTAAAATTTCAAATTGAATTGATTTTTTTATTAATTTCAAGAAAAAATTTTTATTAATTTAAATAATAAATTGTAATTATAATGAAATTAGTAATTTATTGTAATTTAATTAATTTCATTTAAATTAATTAAGTGAAATTTAAAAGGTAAAATGAAAATAAAATTTTAATTTAAAATTTAAATTAAATTGATTTATTTTATTACTTTAAATAATAATTTTTTTAGTTTAAATAATAAATTTTAATTATAATACAACTACTAATTTATTTTCATTTAATTAATTTTATTTAAAATTAATTAATTTTAATTTAAAATTTAAAATTAAATTAAAATTTCAATTTAAAATTAGGATTGGGAAATTTGAAATGAATTTATATTTATATTTATATTTATATTTATATTTATATTTATATTTATATTTATATTTATATATTGTAAAAATAATTATATTTATA